AGTCATCGCTGTGATCATGAAGCTGCGGCATTAGTCATTCCTGCATCATCTCAAGACAGGACGTGCCAGTGATGGTTGCCTCGGCGAAGAAAAATGGCCCGTACACCTTCTCTTTGGATATGGCACAGAAAACGTTCAGTTTCGGTGAATCCCGAATGTGCTCAATTGTGGCATGTGGGTTTTCACTTCCCCATGCCCACACATTGTGTCTGTTCACCTTCCCATAAATGTGGAACGTAGCTTCGTCGCTGAAAATCAGTTTTCCAGTGAAACAGTCTTCTCCCAAGTGCTGCTGCATGTCGGTACAGGACTGAAAATGTCGGGTCTTGTCTTTATCAGTTGTAGCCTGCAGTAACTGCAGCCTGTACGGCTTAACCCGCAGACACTTATGAAGAATTCACCACAGGGGTCAGGGAATTATGAATAACCGTGTACTTACCGAACTGAGCAAGGTGTCATCTATCCACATGAAAATCCTGAATGTTGTGATCTTCCAAATGACTTCATCCTGTTACAACCTCCTACGTAAATTGTCGTTCATTGCCACAGTGCCAGAAAGTATTGATTCTATTTTCCCTTGTTGACATGTGATGAGAATGTTAGTAAATATAAACAAGTAATGCCCCCACTCACCTCTCCACAATATTTTGCCATGAATGTCTCCGCATTGGTCTCGGTGTCCACGTCATACAGCTCCACAAAGTCTGAGTCACATGTGCTCTGTGGTCCAATGTCAAACACTGAAAGAGAAGCTTTTTAATTTTTGAATTTGTTTCTCACTTGCAACACTGGAGATCTCATAACCATTCAACTTATAACTTTTTATTTAACATCAAATGTGCAATATTTATCAATGAATACTGAGATCCTCATAGTGTTCAAAATGAAGTCGGCTATCTTCTGCGTTGTTGAGCTGTGTAGGTTGGTAGAAGTTTACCACAATTTCAGATGTCCTTGCTGCCTCCATCATTGCCATTATGATGGAGGCAGCAAGTACCCTGGAACACTGGTAAACGTCTACCAGACTACATGATACTACAACCCAGAAGACACCCATTTTATATGAAGTAAAATGTGTCTTATGGAAATGGAGTGGGCTGTCTTACCTGTGAACTTTAGGACAGGCTGGGTTCCAACAGGCACTGACACATCCCAGCGGCAATGTGAACTGTTACGATAGTTGACAGGGTACATTGGGCTGGTGAACACCCCACCATAGTTGAACAACCTGCCACCACAACCACGACCTGCAGAATAAATCATGCAGAGGCTACAATCAGCGGACTACGCAAGAGAACTCAGCAACTGTTCCTGTCTTATGTCTAGGAGAACTGAGGAAAATCATAAAAACTGCAGTCAGGTAGGTAATGAGACTGAATCCAGCTGGGTATGCGGCTACCAAGAGGATCTACCAAGTAGGATTTGAGGTTTTCACGACGGTGAGTCTGAAGATTGCTGTCTTCTGGGTTGTTGCGCTGTGTAGTCTGGTCGATGTTTACCAACGTTTCAGAGGTCATACTGCCTCCATCATCAGGGCGATGAGTATGAAGATTTCTGTCTTCTGGGTTGTTTTCATTTTCGTACTGAACACCATAAGAACCTGAAATCCTACTTCATCCTATACTTGTAAAAACCAGTGCTGTCTGATTGTGTGTTAGTTGAGTTTGATTACTGGTGCTGAAAGACATGGACATATAAACTGAGATGTGTGGAACAGAGGAAATAATAAGCATGGAGAAATCTGTGAAATTTGATGTTCTCATGACAGTATGTCAGTGTTCTTCTGGATTGTGATGTCAAGTGGACTTGTACGTAGATACCAACATTTCTGAGAAAAATATTGTCCCCAATTTTAGCCCTGAAAATGATTACAGTATGTTTCTCCAAAAAGTTGGTATTTGTCCACATGGTGTCATAGCCCCAAATAATATCAACACAGATAACTCTGTCAGAGACAGGTTGGTACAGCCATCTAAAGGAAAGGATGATGGATGATTTGACCATAGAGTTTTTAAAGGTTTGCCCCCTT